ACAATTAGGGAGACGACCTCTGGTAGCTCAGGAAAACGGGCAGGAAGACAGCCTTTGGTAGCTCGCGAAAAAAAACGGGAAGACGACTTTCGGTGGCTCGCGAAATCCAGCGAGGGAAGGGTGCAGACATTCGGGAAGTCTGCACCCGAGGGCGATGCGAGCTTGGAGAACGAGGCGCTGGCGAATGCCAGGAAAGGTCAGGACAGTTGGGTCAATCGATGGCGCTCACTCACCGGCAGAATGTTCCAAATTGTTTGCATGTCACGTGGGTGAATACAGAAGACGACAGCAGCATGGTGCAGCCGCTTGGGAAAAGCCATCAGCATATTGTATTTGGAAGTTCAACTGCAAGGCAAATTTGAAGCATCCCGCGAGTTCTTAAGGGAAGCGTCCCCGCTGACCCGACACAGCGAGGATAAAACGTAAATTTGTCGCCAAACTACGTACGTCATCAGCCCCAGGGAAATCAAGTGGTGCAGGTGTCCGTGACGGTTACAGCTGGACGTCAAGGACGCCTCAAAACTGGTGAAGCCGAGGAAGTAACCCCGAAACGACGCGCGCTGACAACAGACGCCTGCCCTAGAACGGTCCGAGCGTCAGAATGGTGGCATCCGCCAACGGAAAATGGACTGTGCGGTGCGTCGGAGGCGGGACGCGGATTTTGAATCGTCGCTACGTCGCTGAACCGATAACGTGGCGCGATGATGACGTTCAGCAGAACCACGGCGCCACCAGAAAGTCTGGGGTGTGAACAGGACGTTCATCTGTATTCATCTGACATATGTACAGCAAAACGACACCATCTGTCGAGCAGCTTGGCTGTGAAGGTGATTATACAGCCGAGTGACACCTCCTCGCGGAAATGTTCGACGGTGACAGTGATAAATGACGCCGGAGTTTTGTCGTGAGCCATGACGCCCCCAGCTGTCGCTTGTCACTAACGACCACGGTGTGGCGAAATATGCATCCTTTGTTAGCGTCAATTTCCAGGGATGCTTCCATCCTGCAGCTGAAAAATTCTCTCTAAAGCCTGGTCACTCTTTTTCAGCCGCCACCGAGGCCGGCCCACGCTCCCTGAGGAGGCTAATTTTTGATGGAATCTTCTTTCAAAACTCAACGCTATTTGCGGTGAGAGACTGTTTTGACTGAAACGTCCCTGAAGCGTGGGATTTGAGGCCGTCGTCGAAATTGATACGCCACAGACTCTGCAATAACTTCCCACTGGGATGGCAAGATACGCCTCGGCGGTTGGCTAAGGCATCTACGGACTCAACTTAAAGTAATGCAATGGAGGTCTCAGAACCATTTGCTCCACTGGGCGTTACAATTGCCAAAATGAAATATTGGCAATCCCCATTTCCCCCATTAGGTTCTTTTAGTGTGAAATTGTGATTGCCGGTGGCCTTAAGATAAGAAAAAAATATGGAATGATTCTTAAAAGAAAACTTGTCAGCCTATGACACTTGCACGCCTCTATGTAAATCGCCTTCAAACAACGTCTGTAGACATCCACGTAATGTGCATTCATCCGATAGAAGACGTGACATCTATTTCATAAGCCATGCAGAATTGGCAGATTGCTAGAAGTGCCCTTCAGGACGAGAGCTCAGCCATTTTATGCTGAAGATGTTGACGGATTAGACTCAGTACACATCAGACTGGCATCTGATCTCTGGTGTCAGGCAGCAGACGCGAAACGAATGAAAGCAGGCGTTACTGTTGAATATCGGACGCTTAACCTCCATTCGCCTATTCTCAGAGGATAGCTGAAAGGTACAGATGACTTGTGCACCATTCCGACCCAACGAGCGAAACGATACAACCGTGGCAGCTAACAAGGTGAGCCACCAAATAGTGGATTAACCTTGTAAGCCACTATTTGGGTTCAGTTCCAACCAGTAAACACGTTTGAAGGCCGAGACTATGCGGGATGATGAGGCGTGGTGAGAGGCATTCTGCGAAAAAAACGATAATTACACGTGCGACTCTGCAAAAACGGCGGTATGTAGGTTTGATCATCGAATGCTATTTTCACGCCGTGAATTTCGGCCGAATTTTAGTGAAGGGCGTGGCCGATGTAAACTCTCCTAAAACGTTGGAATCTGCCGCGCGTGTTTTGCCACAAAACATGGTCATGCTTTGACTGCAACTGATCGATGGAGTTTGAGCTTATTTTTAACACCCTTGAGAATGTTGTCAATGGCGCACTCAGTGAGAGAAAAGGGGAACTATATTTATGTTTTGCTCTCTTTATGTAGCACCCAAAAACTGACGACTTAAAAAATCGAAGCAAGCGGGCAAGTGAACACAGACCGCAGATACATACTTTTCAGATAAGCTCTACATGCTTTGTGTATTCAAACTGCATCCCATTTTTACGCCACAGGCCCACTCCAGTTCCGAGGAAAATTATTCCCGCTTTTAATGTGCCGAGAATATCATGAAACGGCCGGTGCCGTTCCAGCCTTGCTGTATTAGCCAGTTGCCTAACAAGCGCAAAAGACGAGGTGCATAGGCGCAACTCCATGAGCCTGCCTCACATACTGGTCACTACCCAATGCCCTCGTAACCGAGCTTCATAGATGGCTTTCCTTTTTCGCACAGGTTATGCCGTCTTCTAACCTTATTGTTGGTCAAAACGATCTGGCTTCACGTGCTCTTCAACGATGCGATGAGGTCAAGTGGATGAGGTCTGTGAGTGAGGAAGACGTGGACAGTTGAATTTGATATGATCTAATCTATGTGTGGTGGCTACGTCTTGAATCCAATCTGCTCCACATGAGTGTCGTTAAGATTGTTCGATTCCCACAAGTTTAATTCAGATATTATTCCTGGATTTGTTAGTCTATACGTCATGTAGACAGAGCTGTATTGCGTTCCATTAATATTTGCCACAAAGTGTGATATAACGTGTGCAAGAGCGCATGCAACCTGATGCCCTTACTGCATTGCTAGAATGCGCTACAGGTCAGAAAACACAAGGTGACATTTACGTAGTGCAAACAAATGAATATCAAGTAAGTCGATACCTATTTATCAATCCACAGTGTGGTACAATGTATGTATGGCCTATTTCATGCATCGCATCTGCTCTAATAAGTAGCCTTCGAAAAATGTTCATGTAGTGCATTGCAGTTAAGAGGAATACATATTTCTGGACACATCGCCCTTAAGGTATTTGACTTCCTGGTGGGTCATATTTGTCTCATGACTGAAAAGCTTCCTGATGCGCCTCGTTAGGCAGATCCACGGAGATCGTTCAGCCTAGAGGCAGCCGGCTTACGTCCGCTGTAATCAAGACACATCGCCGGCATCACAGACATCGGCCGGTATGGCGGTCAGACTCACCGCCATTCCGAACCAAACAGAATTCGTAAGCTAACCGCATGAACGTTCGGACGATGAATAGGTGTCCGTGATCAGTTTTGGATAGCTTTTCATTTTCTACGTTGCGTATCTTTGGTATCTTTTGGTCACTGGGTGCGCTTGATATACTGAAAGACACAACAGATCCAAACGACCAAAAAATCGAACGGAACTGAACGGGACGCAGCTGGGCTCGTTAGCTGATTTTTAAAAACTATTTTTACATTGCGCAGACAATACCAGGACGAATGGGCTGCCAACACACTGCAGCACATCATAGCACAACACACCCTCCGTCAACGGCAACGCTCCGGTCTTCGGGCTTGTGCCACAGCTGCGGGCACTTAAACCGCATTTTATATTCCTCCTGCCGTTATTTATTATGAATAGCGAGCCTGAGGCGGACCCGTCGAACCCAGGCAGCGTGCGGGCCTCTGGTCTCCTTCAGTTGTTTGCTGGCAGGGCCGTGCTGGGATGAGCACCTCGGGCATTATCCATCTTTGATGCAGGGAGTCGGAATCGGGTGGCCCGGGTGGCTTTCACATTCACCACGAATGATTTCAGAAAGGCTCGAGGCCAATCAGGTAAGGTGGTACTTATTGATGGGTGCGTGGGTGTGTCGATGCGGCGACCGAGGCGAAATCGCCAGATAACTTCGTTTAACTCAGATTTATATCGATCATCATTCTCACGTAACCCAATCAAAGGCCTACACCGGTGTGAGAGGCGAGAGCAAGGGAGGTAAGGGGGTTAGGGAGATGGAGAAAGAAAGAGAAGGGGAGAGAAAGAGGGGGGGAAGAGAGAGAGAAGAGACAGAGGGAGAGAGAAGAGAGAGAGAAGGAGAGAGGGAGAGAAAGGGAGAGAAAGAGAGAGAGAAGAGAGAGGGAAACAAAGAGAGATAATGAGAGAGAGGGAGATAAAGGAAGAGAGAGAGAGAAGGAGAGAGAGAGAGAAGGAGAGAGAGAGAAGGAGAGAGAGAGAAGGAGAGAGAGCGTGTGTGTGTGTGTGTGTGTGTGTGGTGTGTGTGTGTGTGTGTGTGTGTGTGTGTGTTGTGTGTATGTGCGTGTGCAAGAGGAGCAAGATAAGTGGAGGAAAAAGGAGAAAGTACTTCGTGACCAACAGCCCCACAGTTTATTGCATTTCCGGCAATCTTGCTAGCCCAGCCAAACGAAATAAATTTTGATTACGACTGATTAGAATTTCATAACCGTGCCCGGGAGACGATGCGAAAACCCATTGCGCTGTTGCGATGCAAATAAAGATTTAAAGATCGGAGTCCCCATTCGAACATTTCATTGTTCCCATCAAAGCTATGTCGTTCACCTCATTCAAAAGACGCTTCGCCGCCTGGCGCTTGGGTAGTGTGAAACGTTTGATATTCTGACCTTGCCACGCCACTTGTCATGTACCATCCATTCTCAACGTTAGTGGCCGTGTACAATCATATATCATCAATCCCAGTTCCGTTCCCAACGTTAGTAATCGCGTGCTCGTTATCATGAAATTCCTTTTGCCTACCACCATGTCCAAAACATTAGCGTGCAGCGAACGTAAAGATCTGAAGAAGCCCAGGACCCCCACCAGTTCACTCTAGGAACGACGGGTTCACATCAGGAGGACCCAGGTCCGCTTACCTGTGGCCGGCGTGTAAATGTTGAGGAAGAGGCAGTCCTCGCTCTGGCGTCGCACCAGCTGCCGCAGTCGCAGCAGCCGGCGGTACCTGGCCTCCGGCATGACCATCAGCGCCGCCGTCCTGTTGCCCAGCTCCGGCAGCCGCTGCGGACAGACGGGCCCGAACTCTCGCGCTGCTCTCACGCCCTGCCAGGTCGACGGCGACGTGGGCGGCATGAAGCGGGTCGGCGGCGCCGCGTACGGCAGGCCCAGGAACGCCTCGACTGGCGGCAGGCCGGGGCCCGGCGTCAGGCGCAGGCCCTGCACGCGACCGCGGCGCGTCTGCACCACGCGCGATAGCTCGGGGTCTGCGGCGCGGCCGGCGGCGGCCGCCACCGCCAGCAGCGCAGCCAGCGCTCCGCAGGTTGCCGCCGCAGCCATGGCGCCACCTGGTCACCGGCTACCTCACGCCGCTCGCTCGCGGTCCCGCGCGGCACGCGCCGCCGCTCGGCTTCCTCACGGCGCTCCCCAACAGCTTCGGCCGCAACCGAACGCGCGCGCGCCCGCCGGGCTCCGAGCTGGCCACTGGCGGCGGGGCCGGTCGCCTGGTGCGCGTCGCCGCCGCCAGGGGCGCGGCCGTCGCCGGTTGGGCGTGCGCCGAATTGGTCGGCGTCGGGTCCGACGCGGCGGTATCGCGGTATAAGTTATGGTCGTGTCCGCGGCGCTGAGCGCCACCAGGGCGGCGGAGGTCGCGCGCCCCACTCGCCGGCCCGAGAAGGATCGCCGCCGATTCGGAGCGACGCGACTTATTCCGACGCGACGGCACCGACGCGACGCCGCCCATATGCAGTGCCGCCGCCGGGGTCCCGGGCTGCTCGAGGAGCACGGGCCGCATCGATGTGAGCAGTACCTACGCTGCTGCTTCAGAGGTTAAGTAAAATTGGAAAATCATTTTACTATATTGTGATCGCCGGATAACTTTAACCGGTGATGTCGTAATATGGATAATGTAATGAATCAGCAATGCTGTGCATCAATGTAATGCAGCAATTCAGTAACAATAATGAGTCAGCATGCTTTTATACGGATTAAGCGTATTAGCCAAAATTACGCGTTGTGACTCGCTGGATAATTTCAGGTAAAAACAACTTCCAATTTTGGGCAACATAAATCCCACCGGGCTCACAAAACAGCCTTACCCGTGTCTATATGACAAGTATCCATCGACCGACGTATATGAAATGCCCACGAGAACGCTATTACATCCATATTTTCTGTCGTGGGGTTAATTTCCACAGCGTTTCACGTACTTAAGACATGTCTTCGGAAAGCATCCCTAGAATTGGAATCTTCCGATGCATGATCATGCCTTGTCAGGCATTGGGTCCAATGCGAATGAGTTTATCGCAATGTACTGGGAAAGTTACAAGACTTAACCTGACTTGAACATGACCTAGAATGTCATCATATTAATATATAAGTCCGTTATCTACGTTTGAGGCATAATGATCCTAATAGTTTTATATATCATATAAATGACAAATAATATATATATATATATATATATATATATATAATAAATATAACTAATAAACAATAGATTCGCAGACGACTTGTAGATTTGGCCTGATATGATCATTGCCTCCAACGATAAAGCATCACTTTGGGCGATTTACGCGTCTGGACCTGACATGACGTTGACTTTGACTGACATCAACGACACCGTTGGCACATGCAAAGTTGGTTTCCAGCCAGCTGGCCAGCCACCGATCGATGTGTTTGCTGCGGAGGCCCGCTAGCAAACCCGTCCAGCGGACCGCCAGAGGCCAGCGACTGGTGAAAATGGGTGCGCACGGGCCCGTGGATTTGGGATGCATGAATTCACTTCTTTACCCATTCGGCCAAGATTACGGATCGCTACAGGCGCTGCATTGATTACAGAAGTTTAGGGCCAGATCTCTTTCATCACACGTGAACTGTCACGGATGATTAAAACACGCGCATTAAACTCTTATCCTATCGAAAAATTGCTCCGGAGAGCGAAAGAAGTGTTCACATTGGCAAAAAATCGCCACCAAAACGTAACATGAACGGGTTTAAAACGAGCTAACGTCAACTTTGATCATACTTTGCTCTTGACTAGGGTACCTGCAAAAAAATAAAATAGAATGACCTGCGCCAGCTGTGTGTTCCGTCAAGAGTTAATAATCACGGTAAATACGTAAGCACGCGCCTGAGGACAGAAAGTCATAGATTTTCACGATTTCCAGCATGAGAGCATTTCCAAATCATGATAGTTTGCCCAGTCATGGAGTCACCGAAGTACTTCCAGCCACAAGCTTGGGAAACCTCTGGACTATAAATTATTTAAACTGGTGGATAATTTAACAATAAATTGAGCCCGTCACTGGCCCTTACTATCGGTTCGGACATGACACGCATGATTTAAACCTGGGAGAGTCGTTCGTAAATCACGCGACAACGCGTGGCTCTGCATCAGAATTTCAACCAACAGCGACATTGGTGTGAGCAATGCCTCAGCACGCTGTCTCAAGATTCAAACACAACAGCTGTGTTTATGAAAGGAATCGGGCCCACCGAGGGCGATTTGACCATCTAGAACGCAAACTGATTTCTAAGCATATTTTTCACCAAATCAAATACGAGAGGGACAATGCTGCAAATTTTGCAATGGGAGCTTCGGCCACACATACCCGGCACGTGGTGTTGTGCCCCCCTTCCCCCCCCCACGCTCCCATAGAGGTCATGTTGTAACGCACAGTACTTTAATGTTCTACACCAGTGAGACAAAAGGTTATCCGTGTAACCACATCACACAGGTAAAACTGCCTTCTTTTGGATGTGGCACCGAAGCATTTCCTCCAAATTTCCTTACGACTAGAACATTTCAGAACTAAACAGCAGCCTGGCACCTGTCAGTTACAATCAGTGCAGAAGAACAGGAGGCCTCGGCGTGACAGATTGGCCTCCGCACGTGATCGCGAGCCAAGTGTTCTGCGTCAAAGCTGCCAACGTGTTAGAAGCCCCACATATTCGGACTTTTACTTCGTTTAAACCAGCCTGAAAGGTCACATAAAACATCACTTAAAGCGACATTCGAAAATTGTAGCCATCATACCGCAAGGAGGAGCATTATGACATTCTGTGTGGAATTGGCATGCAGATTGCATCTACAATGACACTGACAAAACGCGGTGACAAACAGACGAAAAGACAACAGATCTACAACTAACCTAGCGAGGGTTAGTCCGATTCCTGTGCCAGGCTCCCAGGATTCGTGATGGATTCTGGACCATTTTTTTCGGACGACCTGAGACCTTAGTCTCATCGACAAATCGCGTCACAAGTGATCTGAAGTGAGTTCTACCTTTTTACTCTGCCATTTAAGACGAAAGAGACCAAAAAGCTTGCGAACGTGGCATTAGATAAGTCATAAAATATTGGTAACTTAGGCTAAATACAAGAACCGAGGCCATTGTACGGCAAACTGACCGCGAATACGTGCATTTCAACACGATACTCCTGCAAATTGGACGATGATAGGTCTACGAGAGCGCTCATGCGAGCAAAAACGATTCTGTGAGTTTTAGGGCCATACGGCGTACCGATTAGGAACTAGAAGATGAAAATGTGTGATGACGTCACCAACCCATTGTTTCAACTTGCTTTACTGAACACAGTTTTAGGAGCATAATGTTGGGGGAAGTGCATCGGGGAGATAAACACCTATATTTTCTGAGATAGGAGCCAAAAGCATTCACAGTCAACTAGGTACCTTAGTGACCTAGTTTGACCTTAGTGACCTAGTTTGAACACCTTTTTTGAAAATACGGTTTCTCTGATTTTCTTTAACTGATATGCATTAAAGACTCATTTATTGTTGCTCAGACTAAAACAAGAAATCGATGGGATCTCTTCTAGATCGGTCGCGGATCCAATTCGAACATTGACAGATCACACACGGCGGCACGTCATTAGCCGACGGGCCGGCGTCGGGTGACCGGGCGCGATCGGCTCACTGCGTCAGGAACTGTGACCCCGCCTTGCAGCCAATCGGGACTCCGAAACGGTGTCTTAATGAAAGATGCATTTTAATTAAAGTTACGTACCTGTCATTCATCTCGAGTCACGTGGATAGAGAGCCAGGCTATACTTCAATGACGTGGTGTGCAGCCAGGTACCATCAGTTTCAAAGTCGTCCTTTATAGACGCCATGTCATTGATGTTACTGTCTGCGTCACTGGGGCTTTACGACGCACTCAGCTGCTGAGGCCACATGACGTTGCCTGCCTTTCGCCTTGGGAAGAGGGGCGGGCACTGTGAAGAATCGAACTCCGTAAGTCTGGTTTCCCGTGTTGTTTAACGCGGATGCTTTAACCACTATACTGTCCGCACTCCTCACTTGTTCCTGTCAGTTGATGTGAGTATAAAAAGTAAAACGAGCGGGATGAAAGCTCTCGGCTGCTTGTTTTGCACTTTGAGGGTTTTGCAACCCAGTTGTTACAATTCGGAGTCTTTTCGCAAGGGTGATGACGATTGCAGCTGTGCCTTTCCCTGTGCGTTCGTGAATTGCTTAAAATCTTCTCTCATCATATGTCACATGGATGAGAGTACGCCTCCGAATGAAAATGGAACGGTGATGTTTAACTACATGAATTACAAAAAAAGAAAATAAAGGACTGTTCGTAGAACAGATAATGTGCTCGGACATGCACGAAAGATAGCCACGATTCGAAACTCACAAATGTTTACTTATTTGTGTTGTGTTTCGTAGGAGTACATGAATTGTATCCATTATTTATATGTTCAATAGCCAGCAATGTGGCTCGGTGCAGCGAGCGAAACAGGTCATGGTGACGCCAGGGTTTGATCTTGTTCTGGGTATAATGGATATCCATATCCGATTATGGATCTCCATATCCGGAAATATCCAGGTGGCCAATGGACAAACCTTCTGTCACAGCCTCTCGTGACAGCACCTAACTTCCTTGCCGCTTCTTCAGTCGTTGCATTTTCGACAATCCCCTTGCAAACAGCGAACAATTCATTCACGAGCGAGGTGCCGTCGTCGAACCTCGTAGATACACTAGAACATATGCTAAGGCAACTGCGGTGAATTTCTCTGTGCAAAGCACTGCACTCAAATGCCACTTTACCATTATTATGCCAGAGTAACACATATATGTATATATACATGCAACACATGTATACATATACATGCATGCGTGTAACACACATGTGCGCTCATCCCGCCCGTCGAAGATTGGCATGGACAAATAGGTAACTGCTATTACATGAACGGACATAAGTTGCTCCAGCCCTAGGAATTACCGTGCGTAATCGCTCCCTGGTCCATTTTGAATCATGATCGCAAGAATAATGAATCATGAGTCAATGATGAATCGCGATATCGTGATTTCGAGATGCGGGCTCCCACTTCCGTGGCTGAGCTCAATCCTTCCGTTGATCTGGAGCTTGTGCCCAGAGATTGTGTGGCTCCAACAGCCATCCGTTGACTGCATTGAATCCATATTTGAAACAACGGATGACTGTGCTTTTTCCAGCAGACCGGCAACGAGTATGCGATGCAATGCGATGCGATGCGATGCGATATGATGCGATGCGACGCGACGCGATGCGATGCGATGCGTGCGCGATTTATCGCCAGTTTCTATTACACACTTTAGAAAGTTCTTCTCTAGAAAACTTCCGTGGTTTTGCGCAAACTCCTGCTTGTTACTTGTACTTTGGTTCAAATGACTTGCCGGATGCCTTCAGTTTGGCACGGCATTTGAAACAGCTCAACAAGCCATCAACTCTTCTCCGCGGTGATGGCGAATGGTTTTTCTCCGCGCTCGCCGCGGTATCCCGAAGACACGGCAAACAAGTTTTTACTGTTTTCTCCGTCTAATTTCAACCAATAAGTTTCAGTGAGCATTACTTGGAGACACTTGCTGAAACCAGCAAAACTGCGGATCCTCGTTTCCCCAATTCCCCGGCAAAAAGAACCTACTCTCACTGACTTTCGCTTGGGCCCGGCCAGGTTTGTTTCGGGCCTGCGTCGAGTTAGCTGTACATTGTATCGAATGCCATGAGCGCGGTTTCAGACGTGGCTTGGCCATCACACAAGGCGACTTCGCTCTCGCTAAAGACCATGCCACAAAACGTAAAATAATACAACTTCAGGCCAGTTATTTGTTTCT